GAGTAAGTTCTTGCTCTATTGCGTCCCACGAGAGCTGGTTGTTAAAAAGAGCCTGGCACCTCTCACTTCTCTCTTGCTTCTTCTCTCACCATGTGATCTCTGCACACGCTGGCTCCTCCTAATCTTCCACCGTGAGTGGAAGCAGCCTGAGGCCCTCACCAGGTGTCCAATCTTGAACCTTTCCAGACTTCAGAATTATGAGCCAAATAAACCTTTTTTTAATAAATTACCCAGTCTCAGATATTCCTTTATAGCCACACAAAATGAACTAAGACAATACCTTTTCCCCTGTTAATCAGCCTGCTATCAGTTTATAGACTCAATTACTGAACCCTCAGAAGGTAGAGGAAAGTCTTTCCTTTCCTACACATCTAGTTTAAGCATAGCTATCTTACAAAACATATATTATCATCTCCATTTTACAGATGAGAAAACCGAGACTCTGCAGGTCAAGCAAAAATTAATACTTATCCTAAGTCACACAGCTGGTAAGTTAATAAGGTGAGATTCAAACTAGGATCTAAGTCCAGAGTCCATGTTCTTTCCAACTATCTGCTTATCACTAAGTGAGTCAGAGAGTCACCTGATTTCTATGTCACTTATTTGTTCTGTGGATTAACCAGAACTAAGAGGTATTTAAATCCAGTCCCTGCCCAACTTCTTAACATATTCTACTCCATTAGGGTGTATTCAGAAGTTTTCAACTATTTTGAATCTTTATTATTCAGGGGTTGTCAACTAATATTATTTTGCTTTTAGGTCCAGACAAATAAAAGTAGGAAGAGAAGCCTGATGGGACAGAGATATCAGTGAGGTATTACAAACCAATTATATTTTAATTTCTGGATTATTTCCTTTTCTGGATTATACACAACTCCCACAGTAGCACAAAAAGAAGACAATTTCACACTTGTTATTTGGTTTTGTTTTCTTTGTATCTTTCCATAACGTGTTATACAGCTCTTCACCCAGGAGATGCTTCATACATGGTACTGACAGGCATCTCTTGGACCAATTTCCTTTTTGGAATTTTACACAGTTTAGGCTACTGTGGCCGACTAAATTTATGCCCTATTCATTTGGAAAAATTACTGCTGCCTACTATGTGGTAGGTGCTGTGCTAGGTGCTGGGAATACCAAAATAGAAAGGACACAGTTTTTACCATCAAGGAGCTCAGAGTTTAATGGTGAGAAAGCCATGAGAAATATCCAAAACACAATGTGGTAAATGATATCGCTGAGGTATGCTCAGAGTACAATGAAAGCATAAAGGAAAATCTATTTGTAGTAAGTTGTGGGACGGCCATACCAGAGAGAACATATGAATTGATTCTTAAAGAACTTATAAGATTTCCAAGGTAGAGGCATTCCTGTGAAAGAAACCAGCTTGTGCAAAGGTGTGAAGGTATGATAAGTACCAGCAAATTAGTGTGTGAGCATGGCTTCCTTATAAAATGGTGGAAAATAATGGCAGATTATAGATCATGCTTAGGAGTTGATATCTTGTCTCCTGATGCATGGGGTCAGACAGGTAAGATAAATGAACGACAAGGACAGTATTGGAGGCTAGAGGAAAGAAGTGGCATTGACAGTGTAGAACTTGATTGTTCATGCTTGTTTCAAGGGGACAGTTCTAGGTGAATGCAACCATATGGGAATGTGGATCCAGTGTTAGCAGGTCTTCTGATCTTTCAATAGGAAAACAGAAAATCTAGATTTTAAAAAATATGAAATTTCCAGATTTCCAAATGCTGGCAACTGATTTTTTAATCAACATTGCATCAAACACAACATATCTATTTGCTGGATGTGCCTGCAGGTTGTCATTTTGAGAACTGTGTTGTGGGGGGTAGGGAACATATAGAAGCATAAAAGTTAACTGAAGCAATGCTGTAAAATACTTAAAAAAAATAACCACACACATTCCTTACTGGATTGCCCTATTTCAACATTTCCACAGCATATGAAGTCATATGTTCTTCCCCTGGGGAACCAAAGTGAGATCTCAAGTGAAATGCAACTCTCAGGGCTTCTGAGAGCAATGGTGTAACCCAGGGTCTCAGTCAAGCTGTTACGAACCTGGTAGAACATGGTAAGCTGAGACCAGTATTGCCCTGAGCATCACCACTACCACCACTAGGAGATGGCCAGTGGTGTCCAAAAGGAGATGGCCTCTTTAAACTGTATGTGCAACAAAACCAACTCAGCCAGTGATAACACAGATAAAACACAATATAATAGCTGTTAAAGTTCAAACTCCTAATTTTACTGCTAGAGAAACTAAGAACCCTAAACAAGCACAGTGACTTGCTCAGAATGACCCAGTAACCTAGTGGTACGATGAGGTCTCCTGACTCCTGGTCTAGCATTCTTTTCAATAATCCCGGGCTGTAATAATTAAGGTTATTCAGCCTGTTTTCCTAGCAGCTAGAATTCCTAAACTGGCAAGCAGGACTTGAGAGCTGTTAAACACCAACCCCCATCTGTATGATGATGATATTTGCAAACTTTATATTTCATGGGTACGAGGTAAGAGAGGACAAAAAGATGTTTTTGAAACACCAAGACCTCCACAAGTGTATGGAAGAAAAGTTGTCTGTGGCTAATATACCGGGGGTGCCAAAAACATGTATACTGATTTTTTTTTTTTTTGAGTTGGAGTCTCACTTTGTCGCCCAGACTAGAGTGCAGTGGTCACTCCCGGCCACCGCAGTCTCGACCTGCTAGGCTCCGGCGATCCTTCTGCCTCAGCCTTCCAAGTAGCCTGAATTACAGGCATTCGCTACCACGCCCGGCTGATTTTTTTATTTATTGTAGAGATGAGGTCTCGCTGCCCAGGCGGGTCTCGAACCCGCGGGCTCAGGCAATCCACTTACCTCAGCCTCCCAAAGGCGCGGGATTACAGGCTGAGCCACTGAGCCCAGCTATGTATACTGATTTTAAGAGATGTTATCTATATATTACTTTTCAAAGTTGAATTGAATTATGGTAGAAATATGTAGTATGGCGTTCACTCAAAAGATGGCATTAATCAAATGAATGCTAATGTCACCATGTGACAGGCAGGACAGTCAAATAAAATGGCAGAAGCATAGTTGTCGTTCAAGGAGCACAAGACCATTTTGAAGTGGTATTTGAACGTTGTGGAAGTACAACAATGGAGGTGTGACTATGCACAGAACCTCCAACACATCTAACGATTGCACGCATTCATGACAAGTTTGGGATGCATGGTACTATGCGTGATGTATACAAGGGAAGATCTGGGAGGCCTCGCATAGCAAGTCCTGCAGTAGTTCACTGTAATCAGAAGTGTCTGGACACTGATGGTAGCCACTCTAAGCACCTCTTGTAATTGCAGAAGTCAAATGTGACTTGTTTTCTTCTTTTGTTTTTGGTATATATTGAGTGATACAATTTTAATACAGTTTTTTCCTTTCTTAAAATGTGTATACATGGTTTTGGCCCCCTCTGTATTTAAGGCTATGACTTCTGTGTTCTCTGAATTGACCTCTCACCATATGCCTTTGGTTTTGTTTAGTTTCTCTTCTTTTGACTTCTTTTCTATTTCTCTCTGTTTTTCTTGTCTTCCATCACCCTAGGTCTTAGGCCTACCTATAAGTACTCCTTGGGGATCACTGAGCCTCCTTGGTGACATTCAAGATGCCTGCTGCAAGTCAATAAAATGGCTAATTATTCATTTCTCAACTAATAACATGGGAATGAGAGTGCACAGTGACTAAGAAGTATACATGTTTTCCCTGCTACAGTCGTTTAGCTTTCTATAGTTTCAGACTAGTAACTCTTGTCAATTGTAACTCTTGATTTAACTAATTCTTTCCATCCTTAATTTCAGGGTCTATTGTCCTGCCATTTGCCACTTTTCTTTTCTTACTTTTTTTCTTTTTAGTTTTTGTTCTGAACCCGTTTCTGATTGGTGCAGCTGTTGAAGATGCTGCAGTTGCAGCAGTGTACATCTGGAACATTTGGCTGACTTGTTGAACTTCCCCCAGGGAGTACTCCAGGAGAAGGATGGGAGGGGTGGAGAGGCCAGAACAGTTGCCTGCAAATAGAGATAATAGTGCCTGCCCATTCTATAGACCACCCTTGTTAAAAAAAAAAAAAAAATCCACCTCATTTGGCCCTCGGTTTCCTCACTAACTCATTGAAGGCACAAGTTTTCCAATCAAAATTCCTGCTGCAGTGAAAGAAGAGAAACTATTCTGGCTGTATATTCTCTCATACAGCACTCTCTGAGTTGTAAAGGGATCGATACATATTTGTTGAATTAATTAATATATCAAGAAATCCTAGGAGACTGTTTAATTCAACTTCATGGGGCAATATCACTTCAGTTTCGCTTGGCATGGGTTGACCTCTCCATCACTTAGATTGAGCCCCCAGACTCACTCTAGTAGTGAAGCTACTTGAGTTTCATCCCATTCCTAGTCCCTTTGGCTCCCAGGTTCCTAGGTCCCTTTATCTTCTGGCAAACCACTGGATTGCAAACACAGCAGGCATGGTTTCATTCCAAACCCAGAACTGTTTTAATTAGTTTAACGTCTGTTAAACGCTTTGAAGATTGGAAACAACAGATAAGTACTGGGTAATGTTATTAACAACTGTAGTTAATTGCAAACATTTCTATTAATGCTAGTTCTGCCTCCTTCTTTTTGCTGTACTTTCTTTCCAAGGTTCCCAAATTCTTCTCAGCCTCCCCCTCCTTTCCTCCCCCGTACTGGCGCTCAAGAGTTAAATTGGGGCGGAGTCCAGGGATGAACGACAGCGGTAGTAACCAACTGAGACGGGGCATGCGGGAAGACCTGGGTGGGGCGGCCAGACTGAGGCGAACCCTCACGCCCCCAGGCTCCGCCTCGCGGCTGGAGGCGCCGGTGGAATGGCAGGGGGCGGGGCGGTGAGTCTTGGCGGCCCTGTGGTTGGGCGTCCCGGCAGCCGCTTGAAGGATGGGGCGGGGTCGACTGGGACCTCCTCTCTCATTCCCTACGCGGGCCGAGCTGCCCCTCTCTCCCGCCCCTCCTCCTCCCTTTCCCACCCCTCGGAGTGGAGCTGCACATGCGGCTTCTCCCTGCCCTGTCCCGCCCAGTCACCGTCGCGCAGGAGCGGGTCCCTGTAGTCCCCAGCCGATGGCAGGACAGTAGCCGCTAGTCAGAGGTCGTGAACGGCTGAAGCAGACACAGCGGCTCCGGGGCCTCAGAGAGTGGGTGTCTCCGGAGGCCATGGGCTACCCTGAGGGGGAGCGCAGGGAATCCCTGCCCGCTGCAGCGCCGCGGGAGCGGGGAAGCCAGGGCTGCGGCTGTCGTGGGGCCCCTGCCCGGGCGGGCGAAGGGAACAGCTGCCGGCTCTTCCTGGGTTTCTTTGGCCTCTCGCTGGCCCTCCACCTGCTGACGTTGTGCTGCTACCTAGAGTTGCGTTCAGAGTTGCGGCGGGAACGGGGATCCGAGTCCCGCCTTGGCGGCCCGGGCACCCCTGGCACCTCTGGCACCCTGAGCAGCCCTGGTAGCTTCAACCCTGACGGTCCCATCACCCGCCACCTTGGGCAGCCGTCACCTCAGCAGCAGCCATTGGAACCGAGAGAAGCCACACTCTCCCCTGATTCCCAGGACGGGCACCAGGTGAGTCACCTAGTAGGGGCTGGGGCGGCGGCGCCCCCTCCACTTATGGGTTGGGTGAGGGCCCTCCATCACAGGGGCCTGGGAGCACACTGCCACCTCAAGCCAAGTTAGAGGGCAGGATCAGGAAGGGGGCAGGCGAGCAGGGAAGCGGTTCCAGAGCAGGTTGTCCTCTCTCCCTGGCTCAGCTCACCCAGACTCTCTCAGGACCCCTTGACTTAGAAACACCAGCCCGCGCCCGCCGCCCCTGCCTGTGGGCTGCCTCGGGAAAAGCTGGCAACGTTCCCGCCCCGGCCGTTGCGCCGAGGTGCCTGCGCTGCCCCCTCGGCGGACTAACGGCTTGGACCTTCTGTTCCTGATGTGGTTCTCTGCCCACGGTGCTTGCTTTTTCGTGTCCAGAGTTGATGCTAGCACTAGCAGGCTATCCTTTGGAGTTGGAGCTGTAAACAGCTGTAACAACTGCTCCACGCCCGCTGAAACAACTTTTAACCGTATTTTCAGTGCGGGGTCCTTGTGCGCTGACCAGAAAGTGGGCTTGTTCACACGTACCTGCAATTTGAGACTGATTGTCCTCGGCGTTCTAGTGAGGAGGATCTGCGCCCCTGAGGAATTCTGGTAGAAATATGCCGTCTTGCTAGACAACTTCTGAGCAGCAACTTAAAAAATCTATGGAAATAAAACTCACCCTTTGCATGCCGGTTCTAACTCTTTTAGGAGGTGGTGCGATGGGAAGAGTGGATGTGAAGCGTTTTTACTCCTGCTAGCTTGAGAACAGGAGTCTGCCAATGGAATGGCTTACTCTGGAGTAGTCTCCCAAAAACAATTTTTTTTTGTTTTTTTGTTTGCAATCTTTATGATGTTTGTGTCCTTATTAGCAGATCATTAGCTTTGGTGTTTGTTTTCTACTCTTTCTAGTAAATCATTCAAGTAAATTTAGTGCACTTAATGTAAGCATTGTCTTGACTGTCATATTTTGTCTTTGTGCTACTTTGGCCTCCCATCCAAAGTCGTACACTTAATAGAGGCATCACATTCATGATAATACTGTAATGTTAGGACTGACACTTTAATTTTTTTTCATAATGTGTGTTGTTGAGTTGCCCTGAGCCTTAAAATGTCTTGCTAGCACACTCCAACTTATATAACAGCTTATCAAAGAAGAGAATCAGCAGACATGCTTCTCATACTTGAAACTTTAAACACTGTAGCTAAACGATAATTAGCTAGGATTCTGGCTCCTTTATTTATCTACCCCTTCTGCCCCCAATACCCCATAGAAATACTTAGCTGCTGAACACTGATGTTCTGTGAAAAGGTGAAGGAATTCTACTTCTTTAGTCAAATGATGGCCAAAACTTTTTGGCATTCAGGATGGACAGAGTCATGTTTATAGATTGAGGATTAGCAGAAAAGCTTGCCCTAGGGCTTTTGTGATGGTGTTGGACTCTCACAGGTCTGTAATAACATTTAGGTGCCTGCTCTTTGTGTAGCACTAAAATAGTTCTCTCCAGGTTTAAACACAGCTTGTTATCTTCTGTCCTTTATTCTTTATGTTTAATCTGTTTGAGCAGTAGGATCAAGATTACTGGCTCTTCGTGTTTGTTGACATTGATTGGAATCAGAGTTTCTTAGAGTTATGAGGGACCATATAAACCCATTTTGTTTGATTCCCTTGGAAAACTTATAGGCTCCAATGGGAAAGTAACTTGCCCAAAGTCACACAACTAGAATCAAAACTAGGATGAAAGTTGCTCTCTTAACTCCCAGTTCAGTGCCCATTCCCCCATGGCATACTACCTCCTGGGGCCTTTTCAGAGGGGAGCAAGATGGAGCTCTGTAGAATTTTTACAATGTAGAGGGCTCATATCTGCATCATTTTGTTCTACTAAACCTACATTTTGACCAGACTAAGTTTAGCCATTTATATTCCTTACTCTTCCTGACCTTCACTTTTAAAAGACTTGGAGTATAGTTTGAAGGAATTTTAGCCCCAAATCAACTGAAGTTTCTCTTGAAGATATTAGTTTTGGTATACAAAAGTACATTTACAAAAGGAAAAGTTGATTGGCCATTAGGGTTAAATTAATACTGCTACAAACTTGGGTAAAATTTCCAGTGCCCTGGTGCACCCTCTGCTGGCCTTGCAGGGACATTTAATTGCAGTATCTGCTGACAGAATTCTACTTGTGCTGACAGATTCTGATTTGTAAATAAGGAAGTAAACAGCCTTGTGGGATTTGGCCACGTAGGTCATGTGTTTATATTTTAGTTTTTCAACACAAACAGCTGCTGTTACAGCAACTCTTAGATGGAAAGGAAGAAAGATCAAAATATTCCCCCTTCAACAGACAGCACATTCAGGGTTCTTATCAGTTTATCTGCAAGAAGTGACAGCAAGCAAACTGCAGGAAGATCTCATGAGACCAAGTGGGCACAATAGTCAGAGGTACTTCATTTTGTAAGGTCATACAGGTAGGCAAAAGTAAACCCACCCATGCTTATGAGATGATGGGCTCTGGGCTCCTGATTATGATTCAAGAGAAGGATCTATAAATCACTGTAGATGTATGTATATCTTCTCTCAATTTAAAAACTTGTTAGGGTGGTCAGGATACATAGCAGAGAAATTAGCAAAGTTTTCCGTGGGATATGTTGGAAAAATCTCCCCAGTAGGGACACAGTTAGAGGTGAGAGGGTCACATCACACCTTCTGGAATCATAACTGTCTTCTTCAGCTGGAGCAGCCAAGTAGCTGTAGACTTATCTGTATACTTGGTGGAAATGATCTCAATGGTGAGGAATATCTCATTAATGTATCTGAATTAAACAATGTACAATATGATTATCAGAGGGAAAAAATAAAAATCACTGTTGACCATTCTGTGGAGATGTTGTTTGAGTCATTACTGTGGTCCTCAACGGCCGAGAATTTGGTAGGCATCATCAGTAAGGGTGTCAAAAACAACAAGATAAAACCCATATTTGTCCAGGTAAAAGATCAAAAGCAGGAAATTCTGGTGGCTGCTCCTCAGAAAAACCTAACAGCTGATAAAAGTCCCTAGAAACTCAATTAAATTGATCAAAATAATGGAGGGATTTTCTAGTTGTTTTTTCAGTCTGGAGAGAAAGAGATTGAGGTTTGTCATAGTAACATCTACCAAACCCTGAGAGAGATGAGTATGGTTAATATGTTGGTATAATTTAATAATTCAGTTCAGTAAATAAAAAGGCTACTGTGCCAGATACAGTGTCAAGTACTAGATATATTTTTTTATGCTTGGAAAATTATTTTTTGGGTAAGGCAAATAAAAGTAGTATCTCATTCAACTCATTGCCCCAAGTGATAGTCTAAATTATGGGTAAATCAATAAGGGTTTATTCGGAACTGTTGGGGATATGTTCCTAATTACTTGAGGTGATGTCATAGAAATCAACCTTAAAGTTCTACACAACATCTCTTGGTATAACTAGATAAACTGTTAGTGTATTCAGATTTGATATTACTTATGTTAAGGTTGATTGACTAGAAGATAACTAGTAATCATTCAAGGTTATTCAAAGTGAGCATAATAAATCCAAGGATTTTTTCGGAGTAGTGGGATCCAGATAAAACAGTTTTTTGTGGGTTTAAGTACAGAATTTTCAGTGTGATATTCAAGGCTTTCTATCAACTGGCTAACTACTCCTGCAACTCACTCACCATGTCCTGCCTTAGAATCATTCTCTAGTTACTGCTGTTGCTGTTTTTAATAAATTTTGTCTTTACATTAGAGTTTCTTAGAAATCTGCCTTCTTTTTTGTCTTTCTCCACAGTGCCTGACACAGTGCTATTTAGTGTACTCAAATATTTTTTGAATTCAATGTTATTTTGGGACTTTGGAGATGTTTATGTAAGATAAAGACATTTTCTCTTTATATAACAGGATGTTTTCCTCAGGTCTTGCTAAGCCTGTGAACTGTCAGCTATACTTAGGTGAGTAAATAGTTCCACTGGTAATGTTTCACTAGATTCTAGAAAAATTAGAAAGTGAAATGGAGAAGAGCCCTAACTATATAGTCAGTCTCCCAGTTTCACACCTTACCTTTGAAATGTTGTAAAACCTTTCTGTAATATATCATTTGATGTTTTGTTCCATTTGCTTTCAGGTAGCATCTCTTTCTTTCCCTCTTAGATCTTGTGAAAAATAATGTGTAATTTATCTGTAACTACCTTATGCTAAAGAACTTCTGAAGTCATTTAATTCTGAAGAATATTACCAAGAGAAACCACTTGCCTACTGGGCAGTCCTCGTAGAGAACTATCTTTATCTGACTTATATGCAAATACCCAGCATTTAGCTTTTCATTTCTTTTCTTTCTTCTTTTTTTTTTTTAACTTTCCTGTTAAAGTATAACACACACACAGAAAAGTGCACAAATAATAATTGCACAATTTGATAAACTATTACAAAGTGAACATGCTCACATTGCCAGCACCCAGGTCAAGAAAGAGAGCATTACTAGTGTCCTGCAACCTCTGCTTATGCCCTATGCTCATCACTATCATCCTTACTCGTCTAAGTTAATGACTATCCTGACTTCTAACATCATAGATTAGTTTTACCCATTTTCACCTTTATATAAATGAAGTCAAACAGTATGAACTCTTTTGGTGCAACAATGGTGCTTTTTGTTTGTTTGTTTGTTTTTGTTTTTTTTTAAAGAGTGAACCATACTTCAATTTATTGGCAATGTCAATTTACAAACAAGACAGGTATTTTTTTTTCATGAAGTGAGATCGTTTTCAATCTGCCATAACATGCACCTACACATCTTCACCTTGAAAATGTAGCATTTCAAGCTTTGGTCAGAGTAGATTATTTCTTTTTTACTTTCACAATTTTTGTACTGCTGCCAGAAGTCTTCTCAGCATTTGCTTTGAATTCTGTCTTCAGTGCATCTCTCACTGCTTTTGCACAGACCTGGGAGTATCCAATGTAGCTGAGTCCGGCCTGTGGCCAGTATGCCACCATTATGCCCCAAGAGCGGAGCGCATCGCTAGGATGCCCTCAGTGTCGGCTCAGCTGGGTGGTTCAGTCAACAATGGTGTTTTTTATGTGACACTATATTCGTGATATCCATTTATGTTTTGGCATGCAGTTGTAGCACAGTTTATTTATTCATTCTGTTGATAATGAATATGTATATTGTTTCCAGTTTGGGATTATTATGAATAATGATGCTGGAAATATTATTGTACATGTCTTTTGGTTACATGTACTTGCATTTCTTTTGGGTATATATCTAGGATTAGAATTGTTGGGTCATGGGAATGCATATTTTTTACTTTATTGTTTTATTTATTTAAAAGATGTAGGGTACAATTCAGGACTAGGTATACAAATTGTCATTGTACAAGTAAAGTTTGGGCCTCCCTTTGGTCCCCCTTTTGCCTGGTACTCTTATTCATGTTATATGCTCCACCTCCCCCACGGTGTCCCACTACTGCCAATCCCTTTCTTATAGTACTATGGTAAATGTTCAGGGCCTGCTTATGAGTGAAAACATGTGGTACTCACTTCTTTTTGTTTCTGTGATAGATCACTATTATAGGCTCTAAATCCATCTAAGTTGCTTTGAAGTTCTTCATTTTGTCCTTCTTTATGGCTGCGTAATATTCCATTGTGTATTTGTACCACATTTTAAAAATCCAGTCTACTTTTGACGGCAGCATGGTTTTAATCCAGTCCACTTTTGATGGTAACATGTTTTTGCTATTATAAATAGTGTTACAATAAATATGCGTGTGCAGGTATCTTTTTGATAGAATGATTTGAGTTTCTCTGGGTATATTCCCACTAAGGGGATTGGTGGGAGGTCAATATGGAATATGGAAGGTCAATTTCTAGTTCTTTTAAAAATCACCACACTGTTTTCCATAGAGGTTGAACTAGTTTGCATTCCCACCAGTAGTAACTTTATTGTTAATGACAGTTTTTTTAAGTGATTGTACCATTCTCACCAGCAATGTATGAGAATTCCAGTTGTTTCACATCCTTACTGGTAATTGGTATTGTCACTATTTTTAATCATAGTCATTCTGGTGGTGAGTTTGTAGTAATATCTCATGATTTTAATTGGCATTTTTCAGAAGACAAATGAGGTTGTACTCCTTTTCATGTTTGTTATCCATTTGAATATCTTGTTCTGTGAAGTGCCCATATAATTTTTTGCTCATTTTTCTGTCTTTTTCTTATAGATTTGGAAGAATTCTTTAAATACACTGACTTTAAACTATTTTTGTATTTTTAATGTTGCAAACCATTCCCAGATCTGTGGCTTACCTTTCTTTATGGTATACTTAGATCAACAGAAGTTTTACATTTTAATTTGTCTAGTTTTAAAAGTATTTTTTTTGGCCGGGCTCGGTGGCTCAGCCTGTAATCCCAGCACTTTGGGAAGCTGAGGTGAGTAGATTGCCTGAATGTGGGTTCGAGACCCGCCTGGGCAACTTGGCGAAACCTCATCTCTACAATAAATCAAAAATTAGCCGGTCGTGGTAGCACGCACCTGTAGTTCCAGCTACTTGGAAGCCTGAGGCAGAAGGATCACCAGAGCCCAGCAGGTCGAGGTGGCAGTGGCCGGGAGCGGCCACTGCACTCCAGTCTGGATGACAGAGTGAGACTCCAACTCAAAAAAATATATATATATTTTTCTTTATGGCTAGTGGCTTTTGTGTTCCATTTATAAATATTTTTCTACCTTGAGATCATGCAGATATATTCCATATTATCTTCTAGAAGCTTTATGTTTTTTACTATTTATATCTAGATCTGTATTTCACCTGAAATTGATTTTTGTGTATGAGGATATAAAGAAGTCAAGCTTCATTGTTTTTTATATAGATATCCAAACAATCCAGTACCAGTTAGTATATCTTGTAAAACAAGTCCTTCCACCTTGTTTCTATTATTTAAAATTATCTTGAATATTCTTGGCCCTTTGCATTTCCATATGTATTTTAGAATCAGCTTGTCATGCTCTGCAGAAAGAAAAAAAAAACACCTGCTGGGATTTTTATTGGCATTGCATTGAATCTAAACGTCAATTTGGAGAGAACTCACATCTTTAAAATACTCAGTCTTCCAATCCATGAACATGCCCAGCAGATTGGGTGTCTTGTGTGGCCCACTTCCTGGTTCATAGAACAGTATCCTCTTACTGTCTCCTCACATACTGGAAGGGAGGAAAGCTTCCTTGGATCTATTTTATAAGGACACTGATCTCATTCATGAAGGTTCTGCCCTATGATTTAATTACCTCCCAAAGGCCTCACTTTCTAATACTATCACATTGGTGATTAGATTTCAACATATGATTTTTTTGGGGGGACACAAACATTCAGACCATAGCAAACCTCTTTCAGACATTTTCTCAATGTCCCTTATGTCTGTTACATACTTTTCTCTATATTTTTATTCTTTCTTTCTCTCTGTACTTCACTCTGGATTTTTTTGTGACTTATCTTCCAATTAATTAATTCTCTCTTCAGCTTTGTCTAAGCTCTCATTAAACTCACCCATTGAGTTTTTAGTATCACTTATCACATCTGTATATTTTCTTTTTGTAATGTCCATTTGGTTCTTTTTTAAAAAGTGTTCAGTTCTTTGCTGAAATCTACAGTCTTCTTTTTTGAACATATTGTTCATAATATGTGAAAATCTTCATTTGATTACTCAATTATCTCAATCCTTGAGGGTGTGTTTCTATTTTCTACTGTTTATCTTGATTTTCTGTCACTTTTCCTGTTTTCTCATATGCCTGATTAGTTTTGATGGAGTGGCAGACATTATATATGAAAAATTATTGTATAGATGGTTTTTATCTTTATCTAGAAAGAATTTATATTAACTTCTGGCAGGTGGTTAGAGACACTAGCAATCTCACATCACCTTAATTCAGTTGAGATTGAGATAATTTGAAGTTGGTCTTCAATCCAAGTGAAAATTGATTTACCTTTCCTTTTAGTATTGATCCTATTTAAGTTCCGACTTAGAAGCTTGGGAATTTTTCTAGAGTTCTCTCTTCTTGATGGGTTCTGAATTCTAATTTTTGTTCTTTTATCTTCATGAGTCTGTCAGAGCTCTGTTATTTTTAGCTGGCCTTTCTATGATCAACCAATGACCTTAGAAGAAAAACACCCTCTCTCTCTCAGTTTTCTTTTTATCCCGCATCTTGGTCATATAATACTGCATTGCCTTGTTAGATCATGGATGTCTGCGAACATATATTATTTATATCTTGTTCCAGTTTACTTATGTTTTGTGTTTTTTAGCAGGAAATGTAGTCCAAATTACTTATGCTTTTATTACTAGAGGCAGAATAAGCTCATCATTTCTTCACTAAATATTTATTGATCATCTCCTATATATCATACACTGTACAAAATAATGAAGATGCCACTATTGATCAGATTAGAGATGATTCCCACCATTGTGGAGTTTATAGTCAAGTGAATAAAAAAATCCAATACAATTTGATAATGCAATGGTGGGGTTAATCATAGGATGAATGAGAGAACTAAGGAGGAACACCTGACCTAGACTTTTGAAATCAAGGAGGAGGGGCTTGGTGGCTCAGCCTGTAATCCCAGTACTTTGGAAGGCCGAGGCGAGTGGATTGGCTGAGCTCACAAGTTCAAGAACAACCCAGGAAACTTGGCAAGAGCTCCTCTCTACAATAAATCCAAAATTAGCTGGGCATGGTGGCACGCACCTATAGTTCTGGCTACTTGGAAGTCTGAGACCGAAGGATTGCGGGAGCCCAGCAGGTTGATGCTGGGGTGACCGTGAGCATGCCACTGCACTGCAGCCTAGGCGATGAAGTGAGACTCCAACCCAAAAAAAAGAAAAGAAAAGAAATCAAGGAACATTTTCTTGACAAGGCATCTTCTTAGCTTAAACTTGAAAAACAAGTAAGAGTTATGTAGGATAAGACCGTTTTAGACAGTAGGAACATCATGTGCAAAGGCCTGGAGATGAGAGAGAACATGGCTTATTTAGGGAACAGAAGACCCAGTTTTGTTGTAGTTGTCTGTTTTTCTTTTTTAGAGGCAGAGGCTCACTCTGTCATCAAGATTGTAGTACAGTGGTGCGATCATAGTTTGCTGTAGCCTCAAACTCCTGAGCTAAAGCAATCCTTTCACCTCAGCCTCCCTAGTAGCTGGGGCTAGATGTACACAACCACAAATGACTAATTTTATATTTTTATTTTAATTCTTGTAGAGATGGAGTCTTGCTGTTGCTCATGCTGGTCTCCAACTCTTGGCCTCAAACAATTCTCCCATCTTGGCCTCTCAGAGGACTGGTATTACAGGTGTGAGTCAACACGCCTGGTCTGAAAACTCAGTTTTCATAAAGCTACAGTTATCAAGACACTGTGGTACTGGCATTAGGATAGGCATATAGATCAGTGGAACAGAATTGAGAGTTCAGAAATAAGTTCTTGTATTTAAAATTAATTGATTTCTGACAGAAGTATCAAGATAATTCATTGGGGGAAAGAATATCCTCTTCAATAAATGGTGCTGAGAAAATTGGATATCTACATGCAAAAAATGAACTTAGATACTCACTATACACCATACCTGACAAATTAACTCGAAATGGACCATGGGCTTAAATATAAGCACCAAAACCATAAAATTTCTGAAAGAAAAGTCTTCAAGACCTTGGACTGGGCAAAGATTTCTTAGATATGACACCAAACACAGAGTCCTAAAAGGAAATGAACTGTTTTGGAAAAAGAAACAAACAAACAACTTTTGTTTTGTTTTTCAAAAGAAAACTTTAAAAAGTGAAAAGAAATTTGACAGACTAGAAGAAAATATTTGCAAAAAAAGAAAATATTTGCATATATTCTTTAAAGAACTTGTATTTAAAGGAATTTAGAAAGGACTCATGGAATGCAATAATAACAAGACAAACCAAACAAAAATGAGAAAAAAATATGAACAGATAATTCACCACAGAAGGTATACAAATAGCTAACTA